AGGGGGGGGGGGGGGAAGAGAAACGACAAAGCCGAGAGAAATGAATGAGAATCGACACGACATAACAGGAAGAAGTTAAGGATATTTTACACATATTCATCACATTTTCGATCATGAAGGGTAGATTGCGTATATTAAACGACAGCATTTTTCAACATTATTTGTTCCCATTCCACGCTTCCAATTTCTATGCTTGTATGTGCTTCGTAACTCTTACATTTAAAAACCATTGATGAATCAACATGAAAAATATTTCTTTTTCGCAGTATAACCTGGAGAGACTTTAGCTCGTGGTTTACTTATTGTAGATTGTGATATTTGAAAGAGAATTTACAAAATGTAAAGAATGATTAGTTGAAAGGTTTAAAAATAGAACAAAAATATTGCAACATAAAATTGAAGGCAGACATCGCTTTTAAATGTTTAATCAAATTAACACACAATCTTTATGTCTATCTATGAATTATGATAAAGTTTTGTTATTGTTTTCATCGAAGAAAACAAGATGATTACGCAATCAGTGTCAAATATCGCTGTGTGTGTGTTTTTGAGTAATGCAAAGTGATCTCAAGTAATAGTTTAAAGTGTTGTGGCGAATATTGGATATGCGAAAAGGTTGCCAAACACTCACCAGTAATGTAAATAGTTTTACTTTTTTATTTTGATTTTTAGCATTTATTTTACCTTCCACTTTACTTTGCCCCGAATATCTTTTCTGTTTTTCAATTTATGGACATACGATTCGTAACTATGTACATATGTTCATCCATACAATTACTCAATCGACATTAAAGCACCGATGAAAGATCATTTGAGACTTTTATTATTTCTTCTCTTCATCATTTATCCCTCCAATCTTTGTCAAGCATCAAGTTTAATAATTTGTATGAATTTTTAGCGCTCATTTGAAATTCCATCTGGTGAAGGATGAATGTGATAACGAAAGCCGAAGTTTTTGCTGTTAGGTATAACACAAATAAAACACTTTTCTTCAAAGCATTTTATTTATTTAATTTCTATTACGTAACTCAACTAAGTGATGTTGCTTATTCTCTTTCGAATTCACTATCACTATCTCTATTTATTTACTGTCATTAACCTCTTCCTAAGTAGATTATTTCGAAGTATTACATCCTTTATGAGTTTAGTTGTGAAATTATAGAACAAAATAAAGCAAAGAAAGAAACAAAAACTTTACACAGCTTGTGATATGTTCTCGTCATCGTTTTATGTTGTGTAAGGAGATGCAAGAGGGTATATGGATGTAACGCTAAGTCAAATAATGAGTGGAGATGCTGCTTGCTGTGATGACAGAGGAATCAAATGATAAATTACTTTTCTCTCACGAAGAAGGGAAAGTCGAACATCTTCAACCCTCTTGCGAACCTTTCCGCTAGTTTCATTTATTTTTAGGAAAGAAATTAATCTTCAAAAAAAAATTTCTTCACTTCTTCATTCATTTCTTATTCAAAAGTGAAAGCAGAAGAAAATGTCTTAATGATTTTCACAGTAACATTAAATTAAGTGTAATTTGTTGAAATTATCAACCCAGAGAGTTATAGTTTTTATCATTATGAAATATCTGAATCAAAACCACAAAAATGAAGGAAAGAGAGACATGCAAATATTTCTACTCGAAAACTTTTTTTTATCGGTTTGTTAACATAACCGTTTCTTTTTCTTTTTATTTCTTCTCTCATGTTACTAAAATAAATGAAAACTGACAATAAGTTTATATGCATACATGATATTTTTCATATATTACTTCCAAAGATATTTTATTTTTTTTTTCATTTACTGTTTGCTTATGTTGAACTGCGTAGCAACAATCACAAAGCACAGATACATAAGAATGGTCTTGAAAGTTGAAAGACATCAGTAAAGCAGCCAAATTAAATTTATAAAAAAAATCAACGTGGAATTTTGTATTTTTCACAATCGATTCGATGCTTGAAATGAGAGAGAAAAGAAACAAGACAAACGGAATTGTATTGGAGTCAATTTCAATTGACGATCGCTCCCGATTATGTGACTTAACAAAACAAGTTAAATGACCTTTACTGGACAATCTCGGTTACTTGCATTGTATCGTAACAGAAATTGAAAACACTTAAATGATCTATATCGTTGCCTTCACGTCATAGTGAAAAAACATTTTTATTGCAAATTAAAAATTCCTACGTTAGCACCCACTTGTAGCAATTTTTTTTTCTTGATTTATCTTTAAACTTCCGGTTTTTACAACTTGTTCCAGTTACTAACACAGACGAGGTTTAGTAAGCAAACAAAGTCATCGCTTAATTAACTACCGACATGACACTGGAAGTACTAAGCAATTTAATGCACGTTCATCAAGAATCTATACGTGATGAAGCGTTTATTTATAATTTTTACTGTCATATGGGTGCATCAACGCTTAATAGCAATTAAAAGGCACTTTGAGGCTCATTGTCGTTAATAATAGAAATTATGTAAAAATTAATTGAATTCATAATCGGGGGTGTTTAACAAATTAGCTTTACTTTGAGATGGTTTGGTCTCAAAGCGAGGTGATTTAAATATGGTCCCTAAGTCAATCAATCTGCCTTTTGATGATATTTTACTTCACAGCGAATGAAAGTAATTAATTTATAATATCAACTGTTGAAGGTTCACACAGTCAATGTTGCGCAAAGAAACGTAGCTTTAATTAGTTTCTTACAGCAGTTATTAATTAAATCTGGAGCTACTTTTTTCTCAGACGAAATAACTTTCAAGGATATATTCAATTAATTCTTAATGGCGAAGGATTTTCGTTTTTACTTTTGCATTTGAGTTGAATTAGAAAGGAAAGCAAATAAATTGAGCGACTCGGAAGGCAAAAAATGTTCTTTTAGATATGTTGGAATTCGATGATAAGTTCGTTTTGTTGTACAATATTTTAATTCACTTTGCGTGTTGATGGGCGGGATTCCGGACAAAAAAAAGCATGTAAAATTAATCTCGCTTTTCCGTCAATAAGCAAACAAATGACGACGAAAGCCTTGAGCCACTTTTATGTTATTTTCGGAGCAAAACCTTTATTTTTTATATTTCCTCGTATAAAAATAATTTCCATACGAAAAGAAAATTGATTTTAGGATCAATTTTCCCGACTTTTGCTGTAGACAGTTGTTGCATTTTGGACGATGGAAAATTTTAACATCAAGAATTAAAAAACCAATGAATCGTCAAAAACTTGCACAAATGAAAGCTTTCGTATTCAACATTTGCCAGGACATCTGTACATACATAGTTTGCCTCACCATTCAATGTTTTATTGTATTTACTACTTCCATGAGCAATAACAGAGCATCAGTAGCAAAATAACTTTTTACGTGATTCAAAAACACATTCGGAACTGCAACATGCTAAAAGATGTTTGTTAGCTAACGCTATCTCGATATTGAAATATCAACCCTTATAAAATGGAATCATCAACATCGTTTCGCTTAATCTCCATTACACAATTGAGAAACTAGAAATTTATCCTCAATATAAGAACACTATGATAAGATTTACCTGAAGAGTCAACAGTAAACAAGCTCGTTTCCTAAAAGCATCAGTCGATGAGCAAACAAACAAAAACCTTCATTATGTTATCGGCAAAAATATAAAAAAAAATTGTAAATTGTTCATTTGTATGTATCACTGACGAAGAACCGAGAAGATAGAAATTGTTGGATTTTATATGAATGGAAAACATTGGTGAGTGTGCAATGTGAGGTTGGAGAATGAGTGAATTTAGCACAAATACCGAATAAATGCATTATACTACGAATGATACCCTCTTCCCCATTATTTCATCATAACCACCCGAAATTTTCTGTTCTGAGTTTTGATTCAATAAAAAAAAAAGGATTAAATTGAAATTTCTACTCATTCTATCAAGTTAAGGAGTGACAGCACCTCTGTTTGTAGTGATTGCGCTTTCTACTAAATTTTACGTTCCTCATACACTTTTCTTTCCTTTTCCTCAAATCACAATAAACATTAAAGTTATAATGTTTCTCTATCGTACATATGAATAGAAAATTTCTCGAGCAAACTTTCAAACTGACGGTATGAACGAACATTATTAAACACGTACATATATTCAACGTGAACTCATGAAATGCAATATTCGAAATAGAATAGAATAAGTATCACGCTGTGCATACACGAATGTAATTTTCTGTCGTTTTTGCTTTCAGATGGCATTAAAAGCATAAACCTACCCTGGGAGGGGTTAAATATTTAGTAGCAGCTCACGGTCCTTTATTTTTTAAGTTAAACATGAAAGTTTTGCTCGCTCATGTGCATAAAATCAGTTAGAGAGGAAGGCGTCTGCCTTTTATTAAGGAATAAAAATAGAAAACAAAAAAGAACTTTACAGCGGAGAAAAGTTTACTTGGAGCAAACTCCCCTCAGCAAACCTTACAAAAAAACGCATTCAACTTTCGATGCAAAAAACTGAGGAAAATTTGCAACTAAATATGCTTTGAAAATCTCTCTTATCGTTTCCCACTCTCCTTTCTAAATTCACTTATTACACCCTCGCTTAACAATTTCCTCTATCGTCGTACAAACAGTTTGTTCATTGTGTTGTGACTTCTATTTAACGATTTGATGTTAGAAGAGTGGAAAATTCTAATAAACATAAATAACAATGAGGGAGAAAAAAAATGGGAATGAAACTCAAGATTCTTTGAAAGCATATAGTAAGCTTTATTTTAATTTTTCAAAGCTTATAAAACGTTACAGGAAAAAAAAATTTGAGTCTTGGTTTCAATAAATATCGAAACTTATGTCTATTATCTATGAGATTAAAATATTTGAGAGAAACTTAAAAAAGACAGAAGATGTAAGAGAGGAAAATTAATTTTCCGAAGAATTTTCATTTCTTATTCTCTTATTTAGATTTAACTTTCCTCTCTCTCTTTATTTTTATTATCTTCTTAAGGGTCTTTTTGCTTTTAATGTAGTGAATGAAACAGATACAATTGTACGTTGCACGATTCATATCTCGCATACCATAATTTATTTGCTTCTGTGGATTTCCTTACAACCCCAAATCTCGAAATTTTCCCAATGATGATGATGATGATGATGATGATGAATGAAACATTATTTGTGTTCTTTTCACTTCTTATTCCACACGTTTCCCTCATACAATGATTTCGGAAGGATTCATAACATATGTACATAACATCTCTCCTGTATGCAATAGTTTTTCAGTCCATTTTGGGAAAATCGAGTTGATTTCTATGTATTCTTTTTCATCCATATATCAATATGCTTATAAGGAAAACATGACAATCAAGGTTTTCTTTTCAATTTTTTTTTTGATTTTTAGTAGATTTGAACTTCTTTTGAAGAAGTCCCTCCATCAAGAAAAAGAAAATCGATTTTCCTTTTCTTTCATCGAAGAAAGGTTTCCTTCAACATGAAAGAAAGAAAGGGTTACTCAATAAAGAAAAATTAAGTTATGTAACCGAAGCATAGAAGTGAAGTGCACTCAATTGTGGAGCACAAACGAAGGAGGTGAAAGAAAAAATATTATTTATTCAATTTCTTTCTCCCTCACTTCATGACATTAGCAATTTTTACATTTATTTCTGACCGCGCATTTTCATACTGTGAAATGTGAATTGGAAAAAGGGGTGACATGCATGTATGCAATCGAAATAGATTTAGATTAAAGGGTTCAATCCAGTATATTTGGATTTATTTGTTTGTCATATTTAATATCGTGTTACTTCCAGTTTTGTTAGTATATGAAGAAAAATATTTCCCTTTTACGAAATTTCAATGGAAAACTCTATTGGTTTATTTAAAATAAATGGAAGTATTCAAATTACGGGTTATTGAGGGTTTAAACTTATCACCCTAACATGGTGAAATGTTTGAAACAATCTCCCCTTAAGGTTTTCAATGAAAGTCATTTTAAATACAACAAAAATAAAAATTTCAATTTATTGATAAACACTTTGATGATTGGTCAAAAGCTTGTTCCTTTCATCTTCTTTCATAACGAACGCTTATTTGTAGATAATGGCAACATGTGAAATTCTTGGCAGTTATAATTATTTAACCTTCTCCATCCACACAACAACAACGAAGGAAAAACAATACAAATTTGATTTTTAAAATGAAAGATTTTCAGATAAAAGAAAAACAAAATAAATGTATTTCCTTGTTCATTTCAGACCTTTCTCACGAATGAATAATCACGGGGGCTCCACTGGAGCGACCCTAAACAGTAACCCAGCTGATAGGATTCCGCCCAATTTGTGTTACCCTTTAGAGCCCCAATTATCAACGATAGATCAGAGGCTTCAATATCAACAACGACAAGCAAATTTCAACAATTTTGGTAAGAAAACTTCATTTTTAATTAAGAATAAACTTGATTTACGGAGGCCCCACCCTAGGGTGACGGGCAACCGTATTGGATTTGCCCAAAAATTTCAAAAAATTTTCTTTGCT